TCAAAACCTGAAATTATTCCTGCATCAAAAGCTGTTCTAGTTTGGATCGGAATATGTAATGCTGCTGCAGGATAGCTTTGCACCTTTCTGCATCAACAAGCTCTTGTTGAGCTACTGTAGAATACATCGTTAGAAAAATGAGATCCTGCCAGGGATAGCAGCTCCATTTAGCACAGAGTTTCTGTTTCCACAGAAACCACACCACTGAAGTCTGAAGAGGGCAGATGTAGAGTGAGAACATCTGTGACCACTTAGGTTAATTGCCTTTCCCAACTCTTCCCCCACTCTGGTCCCTGATGGCCCTCTGAAGATCAATGGCAGATCACCAGGCCTCTTGTTGCAGGCTTTCTGCCATCCTGCCCCATCTCCTGGGGTTATCTAAAGCTGGTTTTAAATCTGTACCCAGAGGGTCCCAAAGGAATACTTAGAGGGAGTCTGCTGTCTCCTTTGTCCCTGGCTTCCTCTCTGTTCCTGGACAGACCGTTTAGTCCCTCCACTCCTCAGATCCGCAGCTGAGCAACAGCTAGGGAAGCTTCCCAGGTCTAATGCACTGGTGCGTTATGTCTTATGTGATAGGCTGAGATGCAGCTGTGATAGGAATCATGTAAGTACCTGCTTTAAATAGTTATTTTACTCCTTAACATGCTTTCATAACAAATAAATATTTTCAGATAAAAGGGATACCAAGATATTGCCTTACGTTACAGATATTTCCAACATGCTACACTATGTTTTCATTGTTATTACTCTCTAATACAGTCTTTTCTAAGAATCTTAATATCTCAAAAAAATGAATATCAAAAAAGATATTGTCAGTGCTAATGCATGAAAATGATTCAAGCCTTACCTCCTCTGCCAATATACTTAATCTAAACTCAAGCTCAAAAAGGAAAGAAAGAAAATGAGAGTTTTAAAAAGCAAGTTTGAAACCACTATTAAAAGCCACAACAGTCAAAAAAAGACTGCAGCAAATGAAAACAAGGGCTGAAATTCATGCAGTTGCCATTGCCCCAGGTTTCATTGTGGTTCTACCTCAGCGCTACAGCGGCTTGCTAGTTTCCTTTCTGAAACTCTTCAGATGTGGGAAGAAGTTGGCTGTGGCTGATAGAGACTGGGGGCGGCAAAAGAAAGATGAGATATCAAAGCCAAAGGAAACAATTGAAACGAGTTATTTTTGGTGATGGTTATTAAGAGCCGGTACAGAGATCTTTAGCAATGTATGACCAGTTTATAACACCCTTCTGTGTTTTCAGGCCATCGGAGGCATGCCCAGGGACAGAGCAAATGTCCTTACTAGCTTCTTCAGACCATTGGCAACCCACATATTTTAGAGGTGCTGCCAGGGCTCACTCCTGAAAGGTGCAGCGCTTCTTCAGGTGGTCTTCCTTCTGTGAAATAGATTTGCTGATACCATTTTAGAGGCCTTAGGGATGTGCAAGAAAGCTCTCTAACTACTAAGTTTTACTATGATTTTATTCTACTTCTCCCAGAGATCCAGGCTCATCAGTGACAAATGCTCCTTTTATTTGCTGTTTTCATATGAAGTTCTTACATGGGCATTCTTATGGCAGTTCCTTATAATGGTATCGAAACTATAAAAATCTTCTGTTACCCAGAAGATGTGAAGACACAAACTTAACTACATTTAGGGGCAAATTTCAGCACAACTGACCTTGAAACAAATTCTCTCTGTTAAATGTATTTAAACCTTTGTTTGCATATACATGATAAGAGTATTCACAAGAGGTATGTGTTCCTATTATAATGGAAAAAAAAATGCTCATTTGTTTGGAGGCTTAAAGTATTTGGGGCAAATTATATGTTATTTAACTTTTCACCAAGACTGTACTTCCTAATGATTCTTATGGAAAAATTGGAATCTTGACTGTAACTAATAATATATTTACAAAGTCTAGGTATATTCAGAGTACATATAATACTGTCCTGTGTCCCTCATGAAAGTAAATAATCTGTGGGGCCCTGTATCTGTAGTTTGTAATGACCTCAGGAGTCCTTAATGCTATTGCAGTCTTATTACATGCAGCTGGAGGTATATTATTCTTACGTATTTTCCATGTCTTTCATTTAATTTTCCGCAATATAGTAGATGTCCTGGTGCAATGAAAGGCAATAATGACAAAGATTTTGTTCTGTTTTATTTGCATCTCAGTGGCCGCCTGTTCCTGCATTATTTCTGAACCTCTCACGCTGTTGAGAATTAAATTTGAAAACTGTGGGAAAAGGTTTCATTCAAGTTAGTGTCTGAAATTGCTGCTGCAGTTGTGGATGAGATTCAGTTACTGTTAAGGTGGTGGAACATCCACCCTTCCAGCACTGAAGTTCAAGCCAGTCACTAAATGAACCGCAGACCATCTGAGGTGGGTCCGGAGGGAGCACTGGAGCCGGGAAGCTGCCCTTCTGCCAGGCTGGAGGGACTGGGATTTCTGTGCTTGCCTGGCTGTGCTGCTCCCATCCAGCACATCCCTGCAAACAAAAAGAAAAGTGGGCCTAAGCACCAGCCAGCTGGCTTCGTGGAGGAGGAGGCACATGGGCTTGGCTTCTACAAGGCACAAAGCAATGAGTCTGTTCTGCCTGCGTGCCGGGAAGCTGCAGCTGACTCACTGCTGGAGCTCCCCTTGGGAGGGACAAGTGCCTACAAAGCTGACTGACACCTTAGTTTCCTCACTAAACAAAGTCGTCTAGTCATAAATAAACATGTCATTTCTGGCAAAAACGCAGAGAATGAGCACATTTCAGAATAATAATGGTGTAAGAGCTTGAGTCTTGTGCTCTGCATCCTCTGTCTTTGCCTGAACAACCAGTCAGGAACAAAACAACCAGGTACTCGCACAGGCTCGAGCAGGGGCCCCTGCAGGTTTCTCAGAGCTCGGGGTGAAAGATCACAACCACTGCCCAGAGCTTTCTATTGACACAAGTCTGTCCTTTTCACTTCTGATGTGAGAAGCCAAGGCTTCCTCCAGCCCTTCAAAACATGGATCCCAAGCAAAACGCTCCTGCTGGCTCCTGCCTTCCCAAAATGACAGCCTTCCCCTCGCTGCCTGCTGTTTGCACCCCTCCGCAGCACCGCTGCTGCCGCCACCCGAGCCCTGCTCGTGCTCTGTGACTCGCGCTGGGCACCAAGCAGGCCTTAACGCTGCGTGAAGCAGCAATAACTTTCTGCATATTTTAGTGCAGGTCTCAGACAGTCTGGAGCACCCTTTTTCCAGGCCATTTTTGTGCTCAGCCCATTGCCCATCTTCCTTTTTGCCTCTTTGGAGAGCGGCTGGGGGACGATGGGACCATCTCTGTGGTCACCTTTTCTTCCACACAGCTCCTCAGTTGTTGTCGCTGCATGTTCTCACTCGGGGGAGACGAGAGGCCTGTAGTAATAACCAAACAAAATTAAACCGAGCTATTAAATGAATGAGTGACTTATTAATGTGAAAAAAGATGATAACAGTAACAACTATGGCCAAAACAACTGCAAAGCAGATCTTCAGATAACAAGAATTATAATATTATTACACTTTTAATTTCTGATGAACCAACATTTTCCTACGAATTACTGACCAAAACACATTCAAATTCTAAGGCAGGAAGTCTTTCTAAGCTTTCCCTTAGTCAGTGGTGCCATTAAACACATTTAGAAGACATTTGAGTTTACGCTCCTTTCTTCTCTGACCACAAGCGCGTACACAAATCCATACCACGACGGACTTGCGTCAGTGGGAGTTTTGACCAAGTAAGGGTTGCAGAGTCAGGCCCCACACAGAGCCCTAGACACAGCCTTGTTCTCATTTGGGATAAAAGTGAATGCATTTTGATGAGCTAAGCAACCAAACTGGGTTAATATCCAGTTTGTCAACAAACTTGTTTTGGCATGCTGGCTAGACCATGGCTGTTTACACCACGTAAAGCCAATCTTGGATTATTTTGTTCCCGGAAAAATGAAGGACCCTGAAATTTCCTTTGTGGTTGGTAGTGCCAGCTACGTGAGGAGAGAGCTAGGAGCTCGCAGAGGCCCTCGCAAGGATTTGGGAGGCTTTGGGCTGAGGACTAGCTGGGAACCTCTGTCATTCCAGACAGACAAATCATGCATGCTCAGAGCAACACGATGCTGAATGTGCAAAGAGCGAGTCCAGTCTCACTGCGCGTACAGCGTGGGGACGTTCTCTGCCTGTGCCTGCATCGGCTGCAGAGGAAGAGCTCTTTTCCCAAACATCTGGAAAACTCCGCTGTTGGCTGACCAGTGCTGAGGAGCTGGGGGCACCCCTTGAACCACACCAGAACTAACACAGCCCGACCTAAATATACTCTGTTTAGTGTGTTTACCTATAAATATAGGCACATATATATATAAAACCTATAAATATAGGTAATAAATAACAATCCATGCCCCAGCACATAAGAGCTTCCTGGAGATAGACATACAACCCATCAAGTGCTTCCCAAAGTATTTTTCACAAGGAAGGTCTTTCAGAGCAAGGATTGTGTTTACAGCATTTACGATGATGTTTACAGCATTTATGCAGATGTTTACAGCCTGAGCTACAAAAATCTGCCGAAACATTGCAACGGAAATTCGGGCACATTGTTTTTCTTTTGGTTTTGGTGCAGAGGGGGTTATTTTTTTTATTTTTACAGATCATTTTTAGAATTTGGTGAAGGGTTTGGCTGGTTTTATAGCAAAAGCTGCTGTCATGTAAACACTAGTAACTTCTCAAAGACAAAAATGTGTGTATGGTTCTAATTTTAAGTACATGAGGTCATCGGTGAAGTGTTTGAGGACTGCGTGCCGGTCGGACACGAGCAGATAGATGCATCGCACAGAGTCTTGTCGATCCGATTTCAGCTTCAAGTGGGTGAAGGAGGCTGGCTGGCTCAGGCGCACAAATAAACGGCTGGGTTTACACCGATGCTGACACAGGGTTTTAGGAGCCTCCCAGAGTCTGTGACTTGTGGACTCGGAGCCGTGCGGGAGGCGGGCAGGGCTGCCCCACCGCCCTTTCCAAGGCCGACTCCTGGCAATGGGCGAGTCTCTGCGGCAACCCACTCGCCAGGCTGCAGGAGGCCCAGCACCCCTGTGGACCCCGTCCCGCGTCCCTCAGGCAGGGGGCTCCGCAGGCGGCTGA